AGAAATTCAACAACAACAATAATAATAATAAAACCACCACCAGCAATAAAAACTACTACTACGACTACTACAAAAATAAAAATAAAAATAAAATTTAAAAAAAATAAGTAGGTTTGCTTGTGCAACCAACTATTTGTGTAGGATGCTGTATTACTCCTTTCAGAATTTAAAGTGTTGCTGGATCAACTTTTAGGAAGAGTTTTTCCCATGAAGCTTTTGCTTTGAATGGTGAAAATGATGAATTAGACTCAGTATATCTCTGTATGTGGTCCCAGGCTGTATTTGTTGTGCATTATTGAAGTTACTCTGGAAATGGAAACAAATTCTTCAAAGGTTTTTTTTTTTTTTATGTCTTTCTTCTACAAATATCAGCACCCAACATCCTTCAGAGCCTGGAGAATGGCAATGCCACCTTCTCCCAAATCCCAGTGGTGGGCCAAAGGAGCTCCTTGGGATAATCCCTGCCCAGGACTGTAAAACTCAGGCCAAAAGTTGAGGTGGCTTCACTGCCTTCACCAATGTGAAGAAAAATGTGAAGACAAAAGCAGGAACAGAAGCAGGGCAGCAGACTGAGATGCTCCCTCAGAATCTTTTCCAGCTTCTGGCAGTCTGCACACCCAGAATTTCCTGTGCCAAAGTGTCTTTGTGTTTACTGGTCCCTCTAGGACTTTGTCTTCCATGGTTTGTATGAACACATGGATACTTCAGCATTCCTTGTGCCCTGCATTGAGAAGGGCTGCAAGTTTAACTATAGCCTCATTTATTTTAAGTCTAAAAATTAATAAATTATCACAATTCCCCCTGATTCTTCTGTTTTAGAGATCCAAATAATCTTTACTCACTTGCAGCCAGTCCTGCTTCCACAGCCCTGTGTTCTGCTATCCTTCTTCTCCTGGTGGGAATTGTGGAAGGTGTCCAGCCTATCTTACACAAGTTTTTGGAAATCTGTCAGCTGTAATGTCCAAGCAGGCACTATCATCTGTCCTGGCTCTGTGTGTGCAGTGACTCCTTCATATTCAAGAGGCATCACCACCTTCCACAGAGGCTGTGCTGACTCTTCTCCACTCTTCTGTACTTAACCTCAGCCCACCAATTCTACTCTGGTTTTAGAGTTTCTCTGAGCTTGTCCAGGACAGCTCATCCCTGCTTTGTGTCATTCATCAGATCTCTTGTAAATCTTGAAGATCCCTTTGCCACCTTTTCTCCCTTTCACAGAGGTTTCAGCAATACCTTTGCACCACGTTCTCCTGGATGTGAATCCGACACCCCTGGGCTGTGGTAGTTTCTGGGATCCCCAGGACAAAGGAGGAATGATTGAATTTAACTCTATATTTTTAGAAGGCTAATTTATTGTATTATGATATGATATTAAAGAATACTATATATAAACTATAAAGAACTATAAAGTAAAATAGAGAAAAAATACAGACAAAAAGTATAACAGAATGAATGATAATAAAAACTTGTGACTCTCCTCAGAGTCCAACACAACTAGATGGTGATTAGTCATTAAGTAAAAATAATTCACATGAAACTAATTAAAAAATAACCAGTTAGTAAACAATCTTTAAACTACATTCTAAAGCAGCAAAAACAGGAGAAACAATCAAATAATTATTATTTTCATTCTACTCTGAAACTTCTCAGCTTCTCAAGAGAAGAAATCCTGATGAAGAGATTTTTCAGAAAATATCACAGTAACACTGGGCTACAGAAAACCTCACAGTCTTGGCTTTACAGCTGCACTTGAAATTCATCAACAAACCTGGGGGTGCTCAGCAGCCTTTAGTGAAACTGTGTCTGCTCAAGGGCTGAATTTCTGCCTTCACATTCACCCCATGGCTCTGGCTGTGCTCTGCCTGCTCTCCCTGTCCCCAGGAGAAGGGATTCTTGGATTTTTGGCCAATATCCTGGGCCCTTGGGATAAGGAAGTGTAACGGCAAGAGCAGTGAGCAGTTATCTTGCAGTTCTCTGTTTTTTTCCCAGTTGAGGTCAGACGCTGGGACTCCTCTGGAGTCAGAGCCACCCTCTGCACTGAGCTCCTGCTGCTTCTGAACCCCTGGGGCAGGGAAGGGCTCAGGGCTGATCAGCCTTTTCCAGAAGGGGATCTGAACAGTCACTGAAGCCACTGCTGCTGTCTGAAACACCTGACAAGGGATTAAAGGTGTTTTAGCTGGAGTTTAGGACACTAAAATTAGGATGGACATTGGCAAGGGGGGAGATCTTTTTGTTCTGGAGGGGATTTTGGGGAGGTAGGATGCCTGGCATGGGTGGCAGGTCTGTTGGCACATGGCCAGTCAGGAGTTTGGTACTTGGAATTTGGGAATGTAACAGCTGTGCTTTCAAGCAGTGAGTGATTTGTGTTGTTATATCAGGCTCTCAAACTCCTCAGTGACACCTCCCATTCCTTATTTCCTCTCTCTGTGCCATGAACTTGCAAAAACTTGGGTGCCTGGGAGCACAGACACTGCATGGCAAAGGGAGAGGAGCCACATTCCCACTCCACTTGGTGACAAGTGCACTTTTCTGGGATGTCAGTGCTGGAATCCCACCAGCAGGCAAAGTCCAGCTTCTGGTGAGGGTTGTTATTCTAGCATAACAGCAACACCTCTGCTGAGCCCAGCATTGTCCCACTGAGTTGGGTGCTGTCAAAACAACCCTAAATCAGACTTTTGCTGATCTCTGAGCCTGCCCATGCAAATGTTGGCACATCTTGATCTGGAGCTTCAGAGCTTGTGCTTGTGCTCCCAGGGACATCCCAGCCCGTGGACAGGTTGGGTCACCGGTGTGTGTTGGGTTTCAAGCACCAGGGTGAGCCAGGCAAAGCCCTCAGGCTGGTTCACCACGGGTTGGTCTCAGTGCCTTGGGTCAATCTCGTGTCCCTCAGGGCATTTCTGCAGCTCTGCCTTGAGCAGCCCCTGGGCAGGGTTTGGGGCCAGGCAGGGCTCTGTGCAGCCTCAGCTGCTCTCTGAGGCTCATCAAGGTGTTAATTTGAGTTTCTTGGGCTAGACCTGGCCCCAAAGCTCTGTCTCTGTTTCCAGCATTGCCTCTTTATGTCTTGGGTCACTGGGACATCTCTGTTTCTGTCCCCCAGTTCAGCAGTGACAATGGGAGGGGGAGATTCTTCTGACCCACTCAGTTCCGAGGTTCAATCCTTGTGTGATCCACAAGGGTTCCAAGGTTCTTGAGTAGTTTTCAGGTCTCTGGGTACGTCCAGGTGTTCGTTAATTGCCTTTGCTCTGAATTACAGATGTGTGAGCACATTTGGGGATTGAGGCTCCTGTGGGAATGGGTACAAGGTGGGATTAGGTCAGCAGAGCTGTGCTCCAGCTCCTGTGCCTGGACAGGCTGGGCTGACTACAGGGAGATCTAGAAAACAGCTCAGAAAGAGCTCAGGAACACCCTTTACTCATCTACAATGTACAGGGGGGACTCAAATCACAGCTGCAGTGCTTGACTTGCATCCTCCATCATGAAGGAGAAGTGTCCAAAGATAAAGGTTCCTGAATATTTCCATTGATCTGTCTGGTTTGGGCATTTCTTGGGGCAGACTCTGTGAGTCTGGGTTTGGGAAGCAGGTGACATTCCTGGTCAGTGCTGCTCCCAATTTGCAGCCCCCAAATCCTGCATCAAAGTAAAATAATTTCTCTGTGATTTCAAGCATCCTGAATATAGGAGGTAAGATGAGTTTTGCAAGAGAAATATTGTCTTGCCATGGACAGTGAAACCATTTGTCTCCAATATTTGTGACATTTTTCAGCTGAATTGCATTAACACATAAATGCATTGCTGTTGCATTTGGCAGGACATTTTTATCTGACCTTTCCTGTATCTTTTTTCAGCAAGGATATATTTTCCAGCAAAACTCATGCTTGTGGAGGAAGGTGGTCACTGGTAACATCCTCCCAGTGGCCTTTCCAAGCTGTGGGGTACCAGGCCCTGGGAATGATCTGGCTCCTGCCTTTAGGAGCCACACAGAGCTGTGACACAGTGAGCAGCAGCCAGGGCTCTGTGTGTGACACTGCCTGTGCTGTGACCCAGGAATGGCTCTTCTCATGGTCTCTCCATGGAGCCAAGAGAACTTTCCCTGGGGCTGCTGGTGACAGCACACATGGCTTTCTCATCCTCCCCATGGCATCAGTCTGGGACTTTGCCCTGGTGTGTGGTGGGAATAGGACACCAGATCTAATCAATCTGTATTGATTAATCTTCTGAGCTGGTAAAATGCTCTGACCTGCAGCTTCCTGAATATCCTTCCCTTCTTCACTTTTTCCATGATGGTGATTTTAGAATCATCACAGAATCCCAAACTGGCGTGGGTTGAACCTTTAAAAACCACCCAGTCCAGTCCTGTGCCATGGGCAGGGGCACCTCAGGGTGGCTCAGAGCTCCTGCCCAACCTGACCCTGAATGATCCTGTTGCCTCAGGTTTAGCTTTTGTATTTTTCAGATTCTGTGCTCCTTTAGTGTGTGGGTCTGGGCTTCACATGAGGGGATGGTGAGCTCTCTGCACAGAGCAGGGAGACAAAACAATTCCTGATCTAGCTGGGGACCAAGGACAAATGATCCAAATCTCAGGCCCAAGAGCACAAACAACGTGGGCTGAAGAGAGAAAAACAAGAAGGATGGGACTGCATGGGCTAAAGCTGTAGGTGGACAATTAACTGCAATATGAAAATGGACTAGCTGTCTTCACAGAGCAGGGAGACAAAACAATTCCTTCTCTAGCTGGGGACCAAGGACAACTGATCCAAATCTCAGGCCCAAGAGCATAAACAGTGTAGCATGAAGAAAGAAAAAGAAGGATGGGACTGCATGGGCTGGGGGTGTAGCTGGACAATTAACTGCAATATGCAAAGGGTCAGAGCTTATAAAAGTGAGAGACCCTGTGAGCAGTGGGGCATTTTGTGACCATTTTGGGTTCACCTGGTATGTAGCTGCCCAAGGCGGATCCATTGAGGCCTCCTAATGAATCCCTGCTCCTCTAATCTCTGTTCCAGGTCAGCCTTCTCAAGGCATCAGTCCCAGGCATATCTTCCCTACCTCACCTCTTCTCCTGCTTCTTTCCTTCCAGCCTGACCGGGAAGGAAGCCCTGACCCACTTCCCCTCGCTGGGTGCCCCGGGGGGCTCCGGCCCGGGCAAGGGGCACGTGAAGCAGTGCGAGCTGCTCCAGCTGTCCCGCAAGCAGAAGCGGCTGTGCCGGAGGGAGCCGGGGCTGGCGGAGACGCTGCGCGACGCCATCCGCCTGGGGATCCTGGAGTGCCAGTTCCAGTTCCGCAGCGAGCGCTGGAACTGCAGCCTGGAGGGCCGGCCCAGCCTGCTCAAGAGAGGTACAAGGTAGTTGGTGTGCCGGGAAACGCTGGCTGCAGCCCCTGGGGTCTCCCAAATTAAATCTCACACGATGCCATGGTAGAGACAGACACAATACAAGGCAACACACTCCATTTCCAGAAGGCTTCAAACTGTATTTATAGCTTTTTATACATTCTTACAAAACTCATAAGTTTACACTTTACTCACTTTACTCAAACAAAGTGCTTATTGGAATAGGCAGTTGCAAGTTTCTTTTATTTATCCTTCTTTCTTTCTTTGTCAACGACCTTGGTAGGAAATTCTTTCAGGGGTAAACATGGATTCTCTTCTCAACCTTCTCTCTGGCTCACAGAATTCACTGTAAAACCTCTTCCACTGTTGGTGTCCAGGGAAATTCTGGCTGCAGCCCCGGGGTGTCCCAAATTAAATCTCACACAATGTCGTGGTAGAGACAGAGACAATACAAAGCAACACACTCCATTTCCTGAAGGCTTCAAACTGTTTTTATTATGGCATGCATGCTTTTTATACATTCTTACACAACTCATAAATTCACACTATACTCTTTACTCTTTACTCAAACAAAGTGCTTATCGGAATAGGCAGTTGGAAGTTTCTCTTATTTATCCTTCTTTCTTTCTTGGTTTCTATATCAAGGACCTTGGTAGCAAGTTCTTTCAGGGGTAAACATGGATCCTCTTCTCAGCCTTCTCTCTGGCTCACAGAAGTTGCTGTAAAACCTCTTCCACAGTTGGTGTCCAGGGAAACTCTGGCTGCAGCCCCCGGGGTGTCCCAAATGAAATCTTACAGGAAGCAAAGTGACAGGAGTGCTGAGATCTCTGTTTCACCCAGTGATGGAGCTGGGCAGTTTGGGCTCCTCTGCCACAAAATAAGCCTTGTCCTCATCTTCCCAGCATGGTTTGCCAGGGATTGGGAAGGGAGAGGAGGTTCACATCCTTGGCTGGTGGCTGCTTCTCCGAGAGCAGAGCTCCTTACTCTGAGCTCCCTCCTCAGCTGGGGTGGTGCTGTGGGAAAACAGCGTCAGTTAAAGGAAAACAGGGTCAGTTAAAGAAAAAAATCCCTTTAGTGCCTTGGATATTCATGTATGTAAACCTCTGTTGTTTTCAAATACAAAAATTAAACCTATTTACTGTTTAAAGCTAATTATTTGCATGCAGACATCTCAGTGCAGGTTGACAAATCTCTCCTAAGACTCTTTCACATAAATTTGGAGGAATTTGGGCAGAGTGGACAGAAGACTCACTGGGTTTTTGTTTCCCAAAATGCTTTAGATGAAGAAATTGTCCTGTAAGGTCTGGATTTGAGGTAGAAGGGAACATAATAAATCCTTCCAATGCTTAAGAAAAATACAATGAAGATGGACACTGAAATTATTTCTTAATAAAAATTCCCAGAGAATGCATATAGGGTTTGCCAGACCTGTCCTAATCCAACCAAAGCCTGACTGGTACAGAGCTCCAGCCCTTCAATAACTTCTATTAGCACTTACTAAGCTTCAGCTTCAGATTTATTGAGTTTCAGTCCTTTGATAATGTTCAGCAACTTAATGCTTTTAAAAAAGGGACCTGAAGAAGCCAATATTAGATTTGATGAAAATCGATGCTAATTTTAATTAACATTGGGATCGAAAATTTGTAGTGCTTCCTTTTAAAAATATAAATTTCTATTACATTAAATATCAACTTAATATTTTATTAAGTCAGCACATACAAGATCAGATTTTTTTCATTGCAAGGCTCTACTGTGAATTTTTTAGCAGGTGGTGGAAGGAGCTGTTCATGATCATTTTGAGTGTCTTTCTCACATCTGCACCTTCATCAACCTCAAAGAACTTGAAAATGACAATTGAATAATCCTCATCTTCAAATAGCTGGAAAACATTTAATTATCTGGCAGTGGCATGCCTTAACATTTCCATGGGCTCCTGACTGACAAAATAAAATATCACCTGTAATTTCAAACCTGTTTTGGCAGATGGGGATAAGTGTTTGAAAACTTTTATTACACAATCTTAAGGATCAAATGATGATTTAATACAGCCAGGTATGCTGTGTGCACCCCCTGTGTGACAGGACACTTGGCTGGGAGCAATTATTAGTTCTCATTTTCCTTTAGCTTGCAAAGGGGTTTGTTTCTTTCATAAAGAACAAGAACATGGCTTTCAGCTGCCACTTTTTATCTGTTTGTGACATTTGTTGGAACTTTCTTGGAAATTGTTGGTCATGCAACTCTCCCCTGTCACCCAGGTAGAGCCGAGGCATTTTAAAAATGCTTAAATCATTTGATATCTCCATGGTCCAAGAGAAGAAAAATGAAGAAAGATACAGATTTTTAGCAGTCCTAAATGGTCTTAAGAGTGCAAGAGAGTGAAAAAGGTCCTTCCCAGTGAGATGGGCCATTTTTGTAACAGGTGAAAAGCCACATTCAATTTGCAATCCCAACTGACAAACTTCTGTGACTGATCTGTATCATCAGTGCTTTTCCTGCTTCTAGAGATGCCAAAAAACAAACAAACAAAAAATAAGCCAAGGTTTTCTGGCTCTTGAAATGCCAGATTTATTCTACCAGTCTGCACCATTTGTTGCTCTTGATAGTTCTCTGGGTACAACTGGGAAACTCCTTTTGCATAACCTGCAACCTTTCTGTGGCACTTATGACAGCTATTACTCCTCAGTGATCCATGAAAAATCCTCCTGTATTCCTTCTCCACTTCTTTAAAGATCCATGGAAAGAATTAAATGATTTCAAGCCACCTTGTTACACAGGGGCAGTTGGTGTCTTTATAAAAATATGTAAAGCAGTGATGCCCTTTTGGTGTCCTGGGTGTGCCATTAAGGGCTGCTGGAAGTCAGGTGAAGCAGGATTTAATCTGAAACAACTCAGTGATCTGGGAAATAAATACCTTCAGCAGAGAGGTCAGAGCCAGCCACTCACAAAATCCTTCTTGGGAAATGAGTGCTCTGCAATCTTCCATCCCTTAATCCATTCCTTTGCCTCCTGCTGGTTGGACTCTGACCTTCCAGCAGTGGTTTCACTGTTGTCATGAGGAACCCAGGAATGGTACAGCAGAGGAGTGGTGACTCACAGACACAGAATTTCCATGATGGGAGATTTGGAGAAAAAAATTCTTCTGAGCAAAATGCCCCGAACAGCTGAGCATTGGAGCCAGCCCTGCTTTGAGCAGGAGGTTGTTCTGAAGACCTCAAAAGTCCTTCCATCCTAAATATTTCTATACTTCTAGAGCTTTTTTTGGTTTTGCTGCTGTTTTCAGAGAGATGCCTCCTCCACCTGCTCTGAAATGCTCACACTCCTTCACTACAGCATTGAAAACTCTGACCCTGAGCATCTTTCCTCTGGCAGAGTCACCCCACAGCAAAACTCCTCCCATCACAATTTTCCCTGTGGTCTGGAGCACACCACAGCACACAGCAGTGGTGCCATTGCAGCAAAAGTCCTTCTGTATTTATAGGCTGCAGAGCTAAGAAATCCTGCTGGAGAGCTCAGGGCAAGGCTTGGACACATGGAAGGTCCTACCAGAGGGAGCTGGTTTGCTGCAAATCCATCTGCAAATCCTGAAATCCATCTGTGTGCTGGATGTTTGCAGCCAAACTGCCCAGCAGAGACATCTGCACCCTGGTGTTCTCCTATTAAGTTGTTTTTCCCGGGCCAGTTCTTATAAGCCCTAGAAAAACACCCAAGGATAGCTCAGCTATTGCTTTGGGGGCATAAAATAAGCAGGATGGCTTCTGCTGCGGTGTTAGAAACAAAAAAGGTTTAATAAAAGGCAAAATAACAAACAGAAAAACTCGAGCCAGGTACAGAGGTCTGCCCCTGGTAGAAACACTTCACAAAAGCCCCTCTTCTCTTTTGTTCTGTTCTTCTCTATCTGATGGTTCAGGCGGGACTTTTTGGCTTCTATCCAATTAGATGTTCTCTGGGGTTTGGTGAAGTCCCTGAGGCCCTATGAGGTGGCTTTTCACCTAACAGTTGAAAGAAACTTCTGGCCGTCTTTCCTTTTTTGGGGGACAAAGGTTAGTTTTGCCCCTCTGTCATTAGGGGGCACATTCCTACATTCCCCCTGCACCGAGAGCTGCAGGTTGCATTCTGTCCCTGAGACACTCAGTGGGGTCAGGGGAGTGACCTGTCCCCAACCCAGGCCCCGAGAGCCCAGAACTGGCTCCAGGCCCCACTGCCTCTGGTGACAGGAGCTCTGTGGTCACTGTGGGGGGAGACACAGCAGGACACATGGAGTAGCCTCTGTTCAGATCCCAAATTGTGCTCCTTGGAGCTGATTGCTGCCAGTTGTGGTGTGTCCTCCTGAAAATCCAGCTCCAGCAGCTGCTCTGCCACACTTCCCACAAGGGCTTTTACTTCCCTCATTTGTTTTGTGAATTAACAATTAAATGGTGACTGATTCCTCATGACAGAGTGGAGGGAACCATCTCAGATTTTTCAGACAAGTATTTGGCAGCCTGGTGACATTGAAGCTTTGTTTGAAGGAGAAGGAGATGTTTCAAAGTCTGCTGGGTATCTGCAGTTGCTGCTGTCTGCAGTGGCCTGACCACAGCAATGGCCTCTGATTTCCAGTGGGCTGAAAACTGGCCAGGAAAACATGGGGAAACCAAAGCATCTGAAATAGCAGGAGCAGTGTGGTGATCCACAAAGTCAGATTTAGCAGGGGCTGCGGAGCCGCCGGGGCCTGCTGGCTCCTCATGGCATGGGAAAGGGCCTCCGGAATGCTCTCCTCACCTCTGGGATCAGCGTGTCACAGAGGATGTTGGGAATCTGGTAAGCATTTGGAGATTGGCTGTTGGAGTGATTTAGCAGATTTAGGATCTCAAGTATCAGTTGTCCTCTCTTAGCTCCTTTGGAGAGGGTCAGACACTGTTTGAAAATGTGTGAGCATTATGCTGCCGTCCACAGCCAGCATTGACCACGTCCCATTCCAGCTTTTACAGAACTTTTGGTGGTTTTGGTGACATTCTTTCATTATCTTTAGAGTACCCTGAGAAATTTTGTAGAGGATCGTCAACCAGAAAGATTAATTACAAATTATTGCCCCAGTGGTTACGGCAACCAAAATGTTGAGGCAGGAAGCAGATTGTTGGTTGATCTCCTTGTCTCCTTCATATTTCCCTACTTCTCCCCTCATGTCCATGCTGTTGGTAGATCTTTATCTAAAATTCTGCAATGCCAAAGAGCTCCTATGAAGTCTATAGAAGTTGCTAATGAAGCCTCTCCATTATGTTAATGATTAGCCACATTTTTCATTCTTCTTGTTGGCACCCACCAGGAGAACTCTTTGTCCTGCTGTCTTGGTCATGATTATGGTGGACATCACTCAGATTTCAGCACTCAGTGTTCTGATCCACTATTACAGCTGGACGGGAATTCTCTGAGGGAACAGAAAGATGGGGAGATTTGAGGTTGGACTTGGTGAATTCTAGAAGTGGTTTCCAACCTTCGCTCCAGGCAGGGCTCAGTGCAAGTCTAGATCAAGTCTCTGTGGTTGTCTCTGTCTCTTCCATTATTGGGGAAAACAGATTTTCCTCCTGATGTGGAAGGAAATCTGGAATTTTCCCATGTGGAATATTTGTTTGCTTCATTATGTTTTCTTCCATGCAATGTATAAGTGCTCTATCTTCTATAATCCAAATTTTTTTCTATTTTGGCTGATCTTATCCATTCCTGCACTCAGAGGTATTGATCAGTCACCTGTCTCTCTCTTCCTTGCACTAATTCCTAAATTTTGGACTTGTTAAACAATTTCACATTAATAGTTCTTTTTCTGCAAGTAAACTCTAGAAAAAATATTAAGATTTTCCCCAGGAATGAAAAAGAGAAGAGGCAAATATAAATAAATAAAAATATTTTGGCATTTGGGTCAGATTTGTGTCAATCAGAGTTTCTGAAACTTCTGTGAGGCTCTTGGGATATCCCCATTCCTGTCTGATCTCATGGCTCCACACTGAATTTTCATTCAGCCGCTGTACTTTGTTTCCTGGTTAAAATCTCATAGTCCCACCATGACCTCAGGGATTGTAGCTCAGCTGAGAATCGTGCTTTGGGGAGGAGAACAGCTTCAGAACACACCTCCACAGTCACTGGGCGTAGATAATTTACAGGAATTCAGAAAATCCACACACATGTGTGAGTTTTTCTTCTTGCCAAGATGTCCTTCAGCATGGACCCCTTCCCACTCCAAATACATGTGGTCTTTTCATAGAAAATACCACTACAGTCCCAATTTAAAACATTTTTAAATAACAGGTTGGATTTTGGGACACTTTCTCAGTCTCTACTACAGATTTCCTGATTTTATGACACAATGTGATTTCAATGATGGTCTGTAATTGCACCAATCAGCTCCATGCTGGGGACAAACAGAGCTTGGTGGCTGTCACTTTTTGCAGCTGGATGTTTTCCCAGCACTGTTTGTCTGTTGCCACCCTTCCTTGTGCACACTGAAGAGTCATGGGTGAGACTGGGCTGTCACTACACCAATGACTTCAGCCTCTGTTCTATCGACGCAGCACGCCCCCAGCCCGGGAATAATGTGCTCTGACTCCATGGTTCAGGAGGCTGAACAAATGCTTTATTAAGCTATATTATATTACATTATATTATTATATTATAACTATACTAAAGAGATACTATACTAATACTATATCACACTACACTGTACTAAAACTACACTAAAGAAAAACCCGTGACTGTCTGGAGTCAGCTTTGACCCAATTGGCCAATCAATCCAAACAACCATCACCAGAATCCAGTTAACAAATCACTCTCGATAAACAATAAACAATAACGCATTCCACATGTGCAAAAAAACAGGAGCAGCAAGTAGAGATAAGAATTGCTTTCCCTTCTTCTCTGAGGTTTCTCACTGCCTTTCCCTAGGAGAAACCCTTGGGAAAGTTGTGCCTGCTGCTCTCTGTGAAGAGAGCTGCGGCCACACTGTTCCTGTGCTGGGGAAGGTGTGGGAGGGCCGGAGGAGTTTGGTCTCTTGGTATTTCTAAATAGTGTGCTTGGGTTTAGGCAGGAGAGGTGGGGAGGTGCCTTTCCTGCTCTTCCCATCTCCCAACCCTTCTCCCGTGCAGGTTTTAAGGAAACAGCCTTCCTGTACGCCGTGTCCTCGGCCGCCCTGACGCACTCGCTGGCGCGGGCATGCAGCGCGGGGCGCATGGAGCGCTGCACCTGCGACGACTCCCCCGGCCTGGAGAACCGCAAGGCCTGGCAGTGGGGCGTCTGCGGGGACAACCTCAAGTACAGCACCAAGTTCCTGAAAAAGTTCCTGGGGCAGAAGAGGATCGGCAAAGACCTGCGGGCCAAGGTGGACATCCACAACACCAACGTGGGCATCAAGGTAGGAGCTGTGCTGGCGGGCTTGGGATGAACTTTGGACGCAGCGCAAGTCTTCCAACCCATCCTGTGTGTGAGAGGGATTCTCACTGCCCTGCTCACAAACCAGACTGTTCACCTGTGTGTCCTTGTGGTGCTGAGAGTCCCTGGGAAGTCTTCTGAGCTCCTGTGTGAGGAGATGCTGAGTGGCAGAGGAGCATCCTGTGTCCTCCAGTGGTCCCAGGCTGGGTAACAGGGAGACACAGCACAGTGACAGCTGTGAACCTCCACAGCTGAATGACTCCAAGGGTTATGCCAGGGCCAGAGGGGGTTCTGAGAACAGCTAGAGTTTAGAGCTGGTGGCATGTGTGTAGCAGATTAAAGACTGAAACTCTTGAGATAATTATGAGTCTGCTGGTGACTTGCTATGGAACGAGTCTTGTCACAGCTTTGGGTCAGAGAGACCATCAGATTGAACATTTTTACCTATAGGTTACAGGCTACTGACACATCATTGTCTTCCATTTACTGAGTCAAATTGATTGTTTAATTAGAGCACTGTCTTCATTCGAATGCACCTAAAGGAATCCAGCATGTTGGAGATACTCAGTTTTACGATTGACTACTCCTACTGTGCCAAGCAGAATTAATAAGATCTTATTTGGTGTTTGGCTGGCTGTCCTCAGGCTATCCACTCTCTGGCTCACCTGTCAACACTGTAGCCATTCCTCTGCTTTGGTGGGAGGTTTTTCTTGGTGTTTTTTTTTTTCTTTTGGTTGTTTTTTGTTTTTTGGTTTTTTTGTGTGTGTGTGGGGGGGGGGGTTTTGTTTGTTTGTTTGTTCGGGGGTTTTTTTTGTTTTTTCTTTTTGTTTGTTTTGGTTTGGCTTTTTTTTAAAATTTTTTTTGGGGTTTTGTTTTGGGGTTTTTTTTTTGTTTGGCTTTTTGTTTTGCTTTTTTAAAATTATTATTAACACTTTTTCCTCCACAGAATAGAAATAATGCCAATAAAACTGAAGTCCTTGCAGCTCTCAGTGATCTGAGATGTTGCCTCTACCAGAACTAGGTCCTGGCAGCTAATAACCACCACTCTTCTTCCTCACCAGGCGGTGAAGAACGGCCTCAAAACCACCTGCAAGTGCCACGGCGTGTCCGGCTCGTGCGCGGTGCGGACGTGCTGGAAGCAGCTCTCTCCTTTCCATGAGATCGGCCGGCTCCTGAAGCTGCGCTACGACGACGCCGTCAAGGTCTTCAGCACCAGCAACGACGCCGTGGGACACTCGGAGCTGGCAGGGCCGCACAGACACGGCCACTCGGGCAAGCAGCCCGCCCTGCCGCGCCCCACGGACCTGGTGTACGTGGAGGACTCGCCCAGCTTCTGCCGGCCCAGCAAATACTCCCTGGGCACCGCGGGCAGGACCTGCTCCCGCGAGGGCAACTGTGACAGCATGTGCTGCGGCCGGGGCTACAACACCCAGAGCCGCCTGGTCACCTTCTCGTGCCACTGCCAGGTGCAGTGGTGCTGCTACGTGGAGTGCCAGCAGTGCATGCAGGAGGAGGTGGTCTACAGCTGCAAGCAGTAGGGACAGCCCCGAGGGGCGAGGCGAGTCCAGGGGAGCAGCAGGGGGACAGGGACACGGCTCTCTGCTGCGGGGTCAGGACAAAGGCGAGCACCAAATGCGTGCTGTGCTCCTCCAACCTTGGTGTTGAGATGCTCCAACCTCTGTGTTCAGGTGCTCCAGCCTGGGGAGAGCCCCTGCATGAGCGGGGAAAACCAGAGGTTTTGTTGGGTGTGGGGTCAGGAAGGAGGGACAGAGGGCAGGGTGATGTGGGGACAGCAGAAACCCTGATGCAGCCACAAATGTCTCTCAAGTTCAAACTTGTACTCACCTGTGTGGGAAGATCCTCCTTCTGCACCCCTCAGGTGCACTCTTGGAGATGCACTGGGGTGGTGATGTTGGGACACTGAGGGCTCTGGATCCTGCAACTGCAGAGAAGAGGATTAAGGCACTGGGAAGGCAACAACCAGAGACTGGCCCCAGGTGTGGCAGGGTCAGCCGTGCTCCTGCACTGAGGCAGAAGGACTCTGGCAGTGGGGATTGCCAGTGCCATTCCCTGGGAGCTGGCTGAAGCCTTTCTGCTGCCAACTCACCGACACACTGCTGAATAATCTCATTTGGCTCAGGAATTGTGCCTCAGAAATACCAGCTTACAAACAAAGGGAGCTCCCCTCCATCACCTCCCAGGTCTGTGGTTTGGATATTGGACTCTAGGTGCATTTTAACCTTGCTGTTCCTGGTCACCTGGAATTGCTGCAGTGACAGTGTTTGAGCCATGGGAACTCAGATAAGGGCTGTGAAGTCACCCCTCTGCAGCATGTGGCCTCCCAGGGGGTATTTACTGGTGGTGATCCAGGGTGATGATGCCAGTGATGCATCTCTCTTCCTCCTCCTCCCCAGTCAATCAATCAGTCAATCAATCAATCAATCACCTTTTTGTCCTATGTGCAGCACTCTCTGCCTGGTGCCCGAGGTGTGTCACATCCCACAGTCCTGCCCTGTGCCAATGACAGGTAAAGCCTCTGAAAGGGAATTAGGAACCACAGGAACTGGGGCATCTGAAAAATGTGCAAGTCTTGAGTGACAATCCCTGCCCCAAGAAGTTGGGTATATCCAGCCCCTGCAGACATGAGGGAAGGTGACCCAGGGAAAAGAGCACAGACTGTTATAAAGTCATGAGCCCCTGACTTTGACCCTTGTTTTTCCCTTTGACTTTTAGCTGAACACACCAGACCCAAGACTGTTCAATTCCTTTAGCTGTGATTTAGGGAGCAGTTTTGGGAATGGCAGCAAGGCACCCTCTGACCTGGCCACCAGGTAAATGGAGGTGCAGCACAGCCTCTCTGGGTGTTCAGCTCTCTGACAGTGCATTTTTCTGCTCCAGGGTTTTCCTGGTTGATCCTGCAGCAGCTCTGGCTTGTCCCTGAGATAACAAACCTGCTGTATTTACTCATTCTTGGCAATGGGTACAAAGCAGACAGATTGGAGGTGGACTATACTGCAAAGAATATTGGGATCCTGAAACTGGTGGTGTAAGGAGTGAAGATGCTGGTTTGGGCAGCAGGATGGGCTCATCCACAGGTGGAATTGGGCTGAGTTCCAACAGGATGGAGCTCTCCTCAGAGGTGTGGGATCTGCCTGTGTGCTCAGCTCGGCAGTGTGGATCTGCTGGAGTGGGGCAGCTCAGCCACTCCTTACAGCTGCTCTGAGCAATTCCCCCCAGTTAGGAGCATGTGCTCACACTCTCTTTACCTTGACTTTGTTGCCCTTTTGGTTTTTACAACTGTTTTTGACTCCTGCTCCCTCCGGTGTTGGTGCAGAGCAGTCTCAGAACAGATCAAGCCATTAACTGGCTGTTTGGAGGCCACTTCCCTCTCACCAGCTACAGGTCTTTTAAAGGGCTTATTCCTTTTTATCCCTTTTCTGGCTCAAGTTGACTTGAACTGAATTAAAGGGTTTATGACAGACATAATACTGCAAATAGGCTTAATTAGCCTTACTTTTTTTTTTTTACCTCCTAAATACCCAAGAGCAGACCATTATTTATATGTTGCTTTTAATCCTTTTGGAGTTGAAATCTTCCCACGAGTCTCAATTTTGATCACTCAATGAAAGAGCTTCCAAATAAGCTAAAATTGGCATCGTGGGTGAAGTGAGCAGGGAACTCATTCTGGCTGAACTATTGATCCCAAACCCTCTGCCCCACTGACCTCCAGCCTTGTCCAGCACCAGAGAGGAAGGGAATACCCCATCTCAGGAGGATCCTTTGGGATCCCCTGCCATTACATGCATCATTCCCATTTAAACAGGGATTGTGGCTCGGTGGAAAGAGCTGGATCCTATTCCTTGGGAAGCAAGTGGAGGAGACACCACTCTGTCCTCTTGCTCTTATCAAAGCTGCACAGGAATTTTTGAATAAGAACTGGACAAAACCAAATTTCAGGGAAAATTAGGTTTCTTCATGTACCAAAGGGGACTTTTGGAAATTGTCTGTCCTGTGTGGCTTAGAGCTGCTGGAGAAGATCTGAGGAAGAGATGGCTCATTCTCTGGTACCCCTGGGTGGGTTTGGGCTCAGTGGGGTGTGGAGGTTTGGCATTGGGCTGGAGTGAATGTGTGTTGTTCACTGGACAAGGACATCTGATGTCCCCCAGCTTTGCTGTGGTTAACTCAGAGCCCTCTTCAGCCCCTCCTGACACTGCTGCAAATCTTCCTGTCCACCCCCTGCCAGGCAGCCCAGCCTCAAGGGCTGGAAACCAAATGATGAGCACCGATGGGAGATAAATAATCTCAAATGCCCAATTTGAGGGCTGGAAAAAGACTTGAGCATAGTTTTAGTTTGAGGCAACACTGATGTCAATCCTTTTGGAGTCCTTCAGCACCAAGTTTTTTAGAGATGGTGCCATGGGTAAGGGAGGGACAAAGTTTGCTTGGGACAGATATTGTGGTGGCTTTGAGGCTTTTATTTCATTCTGTTGTCCAGGGCTTTTTGTTGGGTTGATATTCCAAATGTGATTTAATTCAACTGACAGCAGTGGGAGCAGGGAGCAAAACCTGAGTCTGTTTGGCCCTCAATATGCTTAGGCTTGAATTGTATCTTGCTCTGACCCAAGACCAAGCATGATCTTGAGCAAAGCTCTTCTGCCACCTCCTGGAGATCTGGGCTGTGAGGATCTGGAAGTCCATTTGGACTTTTTAGTTGTGCCGCACACCTCACAATGTACTGCAAATCCTGTGGATTTGGTTATATGTGTAAATGACTGGAATGACAAGGGGATTGCATTAAGTCTTGACAAAGAAATCTTCTCAGCAGCAAAGCTGAAACCTCATACCCTGCCTATAAAAAAACCCTTTTGCAAGTGCAAATGTACCTCATTGACTAATGATGGTAAAAGTCTGAGCTGCACAGGCTTTGCTGGGAGTGTTTTGGTTTGGACTGAATCCTCTGCACCTAAAATCCAGATAACCTGGGAACAGCCATAGCTCCAAACCAGGGTCCTCACTGCACACACAGGGGCTACACTGCTCACAGAGTCCCTGTTCCTGTCCCTCTGTGGACTTCCTAGTCCAGCTTTTATTACCTCTCCTGGTGTGTTGCATTGCTTGGTAGTCTGTTGCAGGGGGGAGACAGAAATCCATCCATCCATCCATCCATCCATCCATCCATCCATCCATCATCCATCCATCATCCATCCATCATCCATCCATCCCTTTTTACAAGGTCATGGAGTGACAAGGAAAGGGGGAATGGATTCCCACTGCCAGAGGGCAGGGATGGATGGGATATTGGGAAGGAATTCCTCCTTGTGAGGGTCCAGAGGCCCTGGCACAGGGTGCCCAGAGCAGCTGTGGCTGCTGCATCCCTGGGAGGGTCCAAGGCCAGGTTGGACAGGGCTTGCAGCACCCTGGGATAGTGGAAGGTGTCCCTGCCCATGGCAGGGGGTGGAATGGGATGAGCTTTATGGTCTCTTCTCAGCCAAACCATTCTGGGATTCTATAAAAAGTTCTACTGAACTATTTCTGATGTTTATGGATCCCACCATCCCCAAGTGAGGAGCTGAACATGCTTGGGAAGAAATCTCATCTCGGGAGGCTGCCCCATCTCATGGTTATACCCCAGTAATTCCTGGAGGCTTATCCAGGGATCTGTTGCTCTGATGGAAGGGCAGGGCAGTGCTGGGGGGGTTTTGTAAGATCAACAAAAAGGGCCCTGTAAACCAAATCTCACTAATGAGGGGAGTAACAAACCCCACTCCTGCAAGAGTCACTCTACACCTCCTGTCAGACCTGGAGGCCAATTTCAGCCAAATAATAAAGATGTCACTTGGAAAAAAGAAGTCTGTGCCTTAAGGGAAACAAAACTTGTGTCTACCTCAAGCTGTTCAAGTTGTGTGACAAGAAGTATGGGTGTTATTTATATTTCTTGTATTTCCTCTAGAAAGAAAGTGGTGCTATGGGATTTAAGTTGCATTACAGTGCTGCTTATACCTTGTGTTAATTTTTATATATCCATTTTTATTATAATATGTTGTCCAGTGTTGCACAAGTATCTGCTTTGCTGTGTTCTTGTCAGCCAATAAATACCAGTTGTTTTTTAAGAATGTTCATTTCTGCCTTTCAGGGAGCACCCCTGGGAAATACCTTTGATTAACCCCATTCCTCCACAGTCACAGTGATGTTATTCCTGTACTTCTCCTTTTCACATGCCCTGTGCAGGAAACAACTGGGAATGCCCATTCCTGCCCACCCAGCTGTAAGGGCTGCCCAGGTGGGCTCAGATCAGGTGTTTTTGCCTTGAGGAAATGTGACTCTGGTGAGCCAAACCTCATCCAGGACATGTCAGCGGCACCTTTCCTGGAGCAGCAAAACATACAATGCTCCTTTGCCTGGTTGCTGTCCTTTGGCTGTGCCACATGTTTGGGTGTGACAGCTTGTGCAGCTTGGGAACTGGGCTGATGGAGGTGGGGCAGCTGTTGTTGAGCCTCAAAGACACGACTGCAAGGTGCCCTGTGCTCTGCAGGTTCTC